AGTTTGGGAACATGTATGGGAACGAACTAGGACCTCTGAATGTGGGTGACAGTTATGTGACTAGATCTGTTTGGGGAGCTCCTAGCAGTGGGACCAGGACTTATCCCGAGTGCATGAAATGTCTTTTTTGAACACATTCCCTAGGGTGGGATACCATGCTCAGCCTTGACAACAAGGGGGGTGGGGTCGGTCCTGCCTCAACTTAGTATGTCAGACTTTGTTGACTCCCCAAAGGAGGCCTTACCCTCTCTGAGGAGTGGATGGGGGTGGAAGTGGGATTGGGGGAGGTGGAGGGAAGGGAAAGGGGAGGGAGGGTGAACTGAGATTGATATGTAAAATGAAAAAAAAAACTTTTTTTAAATAAATAAATTTTTAAAAATGTTAGCTCCTCAATGCAAGTCACAGCAAAATTGGCCAAAACTGCCCAAGTATTCATCCTTTTCATGTTTCAAATTACTATACAGCAGACATACTCTCATACAGCCAATTTCAATAAATATTTTTGAATTCATAAGCTCTTTGATGCGTATGTCAAGAAAACTTTATCATCAAAAAAGCAAACACCTTAAGAAAAACAAGAAAATACCTAAATGACAGTCATTCCATAAAACAAGGTGCAAATTTATAAGTTAGGAGTAAGCTTATAGATTGTGTTGCCTATAGAATTATAATTCAAAAATAAACTCCACAAAGAGTAAGGGAATCAAGAGTGAGGCTGGAAGGCAAATGTTTATTGCTAAGACACTAAGCTGACATAGACAGCAACATGTCCCCATGAAGTTCTTTACCATCACTGAACTCATCGTCTTCACTAATGGTGCTCATGTTTGCAAACATCAGAGCAAGAGCCTAAATCCTTACCACTAACGTAATCAAAAATAGCATTATGTTTTAGTTTTTGCATGAATAAGGGTTACAAAGATACTACAATTCCACACTATGCTCTGACTTCTTCAGAAAAAAGAGGGAGGAGCTAGAAATCTGCCCAAAATTCCTAAGTAGGAATCAAAGTCCAGTACTAGTGATCTCACTAGGGCTGAAACACTGACTTTTACATTTGTGTTTCCACTGTCTTCTCACAATTCCAGTTAAAAGATAAAGTATTCTCCTAAGTCAGATGTCCCTTATTTTCTATGTGGACCAAGGGTCCTTATATTTCTCCTATAACATTCAAGTAGGTATCCAGCTACTGCTTAAGTATCTTTCTTTGTAGATCTTAAATTTTAGATTTTAGCCAGTTTTTAGGGGGGAAAAATACAGCCTTTCATTGAATACACATTATAACATAAAGGCTGGCCACAAGAATCATGAAATCTGTATACTGAGCTGAAATCCCTCAAGTATTAATTTCTCTCTATTTGTTACAATTCTCAGAGGCCACCCATAACCAAATATAAATAATTCTCCTAACTACTGAACAGTCTTAAAGTATCTTCAAATATGTGAAAAAGAAGTTGAAAGACTGTTACCCATTAGATTATTACACATTTACTCACAGGGGTAAAACTTCTAAATGTCTCCTAACTAGTAATTCTGAGGGTTGGCTTTTGAAAGAACAGAGCTTGTATGTTTAGAGGACACTTACCATAAAGAGCTTCTTTATACTGCAGACTAAAGGAACAATGGAAGTCCACCTTTCCAAGGTGTGACTGTTAACTGTTTTACCAAAGGGCCCTACAGATGACACAGGTACTTTATCTACTAAATGCTAGTATAATGAATGAAACTCAAAAATAATTGAGAAAAAAAACCTTCAGTAGAAAGATGTTTTGCAAGAATGACTGTTACAGGACACAGGTGCTCAAAAGTCCTTAAATAGTACTCGGAGGTCTTTTCTAGATCTAGCATAATCAAGGAAGTTCGCACAGTGAAACTGTTTCCTCTGTTCTTACAGTTAAAGCTTAAAAATCATTCTCCTATATATAACTCCTCCAGGCTCATCATAATTAAACAAAATACAAAAACAAAAAGTCCACCTATTTTTCTCTGCTTGGTAATATAATCTTTTACATATGTACCTGAGTAATCTTTTATGCTTATGAATCACTCTTTTTTTGTTTTTGGGTTTTTCGAGACAGGGTTTCTCTGTGTAGCTTTGCACCTTTCCTGGATCTCACTCTGTAGACTAGGCTGGCTCGAACTCACAGAGATTTGCCTGGCTCCACCTCCTGAGTGCTGGGATTTAAAGGTGCACACCGCTGCCGCCACTGCTGCCACCACCACCACCACCACCGCCATTCATTTCATGCTTATTTTGCCAAGCAGGTGGTAATTACAAACAAATACATTATTTTTTTCATCATATCAGTTTAAAAAATACTATTTTATTTCATTGAAGAGTACAAACAAATCCCCTGGGTAAATTTTATTTTACTTGAGACAGGATTGACTATGTAGCCCAGTTTGCCTCAAACTCCAAAGCATTCGGAAGTAACAATGTAAATGCTGGTGGGTTTGTCTTTTTTAAAGGCAGATTTACACACAAATATTTTAAAAATTATTTTCTTAGTAGAATAGAATTTTAAATGGTTTAAAGTCATTACAAGATCAAATGTATTAAGCATATATCATATAAACTTTAACAAAGATTGCCATTAGTTATTATAGCTTTTAAAGTTTCACAAGCATAAGTGAGAAATATTTATATAAGCCAAAATTCAACTCACTTATTGCTTTAATATTTCCACTATATGTCCAAAGTTGCTGGGAGGGATAAAAGAGAAAAGAACACAAATGAGAAAAGATAAAAAGAATGCATACAAATAAAGGATGCGTGAAATGATGGAGAAAACTCAACCTCTGAATCTTGTGAAAGAGAACTAAGAACTAGAGAATTTCAGTGATTTAGGCCAAACCAGTAACTGGTGGAACAGTAGTGTTTCCTTTAACAAACCTGAACTGCAGCTTTTGGGAACACCTTTAAAATGGGAGTACTGAGGCCAGACCTCACTGATAGAAAGAACTCAGTATCACCATAACACAAATCAAAAGTTAAATACCCAACCCTGGCCCCTTCAAAACCTTTTCCAATCAACCAAACTGCCATAGACCTGCCATTCCCTAAATCTGCAAATGCCCACCAAATGCTCTTTTCCAGAAAATACTGTTTCTGTTGTTACTGATCAGTGAACAGAAGCTTCTTCAAAGCTATTTCACAAACTTCTATCCTACACTATTAGGATATTTCAAAGGAATGAACATTCACCCGCCCTCTTTATTGGAGACAAGATCTCACTACATAACTCAGGCTGGCCACAAAGTTACAATGCTCCTGCCTCAGCCTCCTGAGTGCTGGGTTTACAGTCTTGTACAACCATACCAGGAATCTCTTTTTTCAAGAGTGGTTATATATGACCAGAAAAACTACACTCACTGAAGAGGGATGAAAAAGAAAGGATGATGTTCTTTTTCATTGTTCTGGAATCCACAGACAACGCAATGATCTATGAAACTGAACAGGAAATATTTTACTGACATCTGCATGGAAGTCTATTTTTTTAAAGACTTATTTATTATGTATACAGTATTCTGCCTGCATGTGTCCCTGCAGACCACAAGAGGGCACCAGATCTCACTACAAGTGGTTGTGAGCCACCATGTGGTTGCTGGGAATTGAACTCAGGACCTCTGCAAGTGCAGTTGGTGCTCTTAACCACTAAGCCATCTCTCCAGCCCCCCCATGGAAGTCTTTCAATCAAGATTATAGTCAACAAGCTACAGTAGTAGAAGTAGTTTCCATGAACTTGCTAATAATTAAAATTACAGGTATTTTCATATTACAACTATATGCATCCAAATAGGTAACAGTGGCTAGCACAGTTGTTCTAAAGCAGGGGTTTTAATGCTGCAACCCTCATGTTGTGGTGACCCCCAGCAATAAAATTATTTTTGTTGCTACTTCACCACTATAATTTTGCTACAATTATGAATCATAATGTAAATATCTGATATGTGACCCCTGTGAAAGGGTCATTTGACAGCCCCCAGGGTCACGACCCACAGGTTGAGAAGCAGTTCTAAAGCTTTTACTCAGGTGGAAGGAGGACATAGTAACCTATCACAACTCTGCATTTCTACTATCTGTGACAGTGTTCCAATCACAAATCTGCATTTCTAATATTTGTGACAATGTTTCAATTTAACTGGCCTCCTCACACAATCATGAGTCATTAGAACCATTACTATGGGACAGAGTTCACAGGTTTCTACTTATTAACCAAAGATGTCCTTGACATGACAACTGGTAACACACAGATCAGGGGAAATAATGACAATTCTGAGGGGTCCTCATGAGAACTGTCATATCTACTCCAATGGCAATTGTCTGTTCAGTATTCATTACTTCTAAGATTTTTAAAACCTGTTTAATCTTTGCTACTTATTTACTATGTATGTGTACATGTACATGTGATGTTTGTGTGTGCACCTAAGGGACAGAGGACAACTCGTCGGAATCAGCCGTCTGCTTCCCCTGTTTAGGTTCGGGAACACCAGTCAGGTTTCAGACTCGTGGGAAGCACTTTCTTCCACCTGCTATGCCTGCCATCTCGCTGAAACCTTCCGACACTTTTTTGAAGGACTAAAACTAACAAGACAGACTTCTTATTTAAGATAATGTACAAAAGTATCTTTCTTTCTAGTTCCCAATGTAGAGGTCTCATAATCTTTCCTCCCTCTCTCCCTCTCTTGACACTATTAAACGTGTATCTTGAACTTTTATCGATCAATTCTACTGTTAACAGATAAACAATGGAGAAAGGAATCCAAAGTAAAACATGTACCTCTCCTATTTGAAAGGGCTGTAAGTAAAAGTTCTTATTAGTTTACATGTTCCCCATTACTCTCTATTCTAAGCCAGAAATTACACTATTATCTAAATATACTTCTAGTAATTCAATATAAAAAAACATTTCCCTAAATTAAATTTACTTAATGTAGTTTATAGTTAAATAATTTTTCACTTATGTCTCAATAATCATTTCCCCCAAAGACATATTTACCTTCAGCCAGTGCTGGTGATTCTGTCCTTGTCCTTCTATCTGTTTAAAGAAAAAAAAAGGGAAGAGAGTCTAAAACATCATTATACGTTCAAATATGTCATTACAGCTAACATCAACCATAAGTACCCCGAGTTCCCCAGACCTACATAAAGAGCTGAGCATGGCAGCATGCCAGTACATCCCTTATCACCTCAGAACCAGAAGAGAAGGGAACACAAAGACAGACAGATTCCCCAAGGTCACCAGCCTGCCTACCCAAAAGAGCTTCAGGTTCAGTTAAAGATTCTCTCTCCCTCCCTCCCTCCCTTCCTCTCTCTCCTGATTGCATGCATGCAAGCATGCACACGAGATACACACACACACACACACACACACACACACACACACACACACACACACACACAGTAAAGACTGAGGAAAAATACCCAACTTCAACTTCAACTTCTGGCCTTCACATATACATACACCTATACAAACAAGCACATATATAACATATACACACCACACCCTCACAAATGCTGTAACACATGTATTTCCTTGGATGAATCCAACCACTCTTTATGAAGGACCTACCTCGAGTAAAGTATCATGTTCGCCCTACAAGAACACCAACAGATGGTAAAAGAACAAGGATGCAGCATTCAAGATATTCAAAGACAAACAGTTAACCTCCATTTCATATGACAACTCTGCCTTTCCAGGTTCTCTGGCTGAAAATCTTGGATTCTTCTACTTCCTTCTCTACACTCCATGTTCTACTTTAAAGGCCTCACCTTATTAGTTGCATTACATCTACAAACTCTTGAGGTTCTCCATAAGCCACAAAGGTCAGTAAATACAGAGCCAGGACTACCTTAGGTAGAAGTGTGAACTACAGCAAGCCCTATGTGTGTGTTTTATCCCAAGAGGTCACTGCTGGCAACATGCAAAGCTAAAAGCAGGTCAGATATTCACATCCAGCAAAGTTTGTTTACAGCAACCAAACAACTCAGTATGGCAAACAAAATGCTCTGCAGACTATATTTAGTTATTAATCCACTGATTTAAAACTTCTGTCTTAGGACTTCACACTATCTAAAATTTATTAGAGTATTAATCCTAAATCATTCATTTCCATCCACATATGTGAGTCATTCATGATCAAAGCCTAACATCACTGTGGTTATCCACAAAAATGTTTCTTGGATCAATGTTATTAATACTAGCGGAATGAACAGCTTTTAAATTTCTTTTTCCTGCAAAAATTAACTACTTTCCCTAATGACTACTGTAGCCACCCAGAAATAAGTGGCTTGGTTAACTACTTTAATAAGCCACAGGGACAAGACCACATGTTTAAAACCATGAGGAAATTTCAAGTCACATTATCAAGTTCTTAATAAGCCAGTACCTAGTAAAATACTAGCAATTATAGTCATTCACCTTTGGAATAAAACAACAAGTCAAAAACAATACTAGGTAATAGTTAAATTGAGTAATCCAAGCACCATTTAGTATGTACAAAAACCTAAAGGCTTTCCAAGTTAAGTGTTAAAAATCATTCCTTTGCCTCCAGGAAAGGGTAAGACATAAAGTTGTGACTAGAGAGCATTGAGTCACTATGTCAGGACTATATAAAACTCAATAACTAGCCACAAAACCTAGATAGATGGTAAAACCTAACTGAACTCAACTGGTTCATGGTTCCCTTGAAATACACAGACAACAACTTTCAAAACCACCTTAGAAACAACAGAAAGGAGCACTTGGATTGATTAATGGGCCACTGACCAGGTTCCAAAATCTGACAGTACCATAAAATATCTTATACTTCTTCAGAGGGGAAAAGAAGCAAGCTAACCATGGTAGTTTGAATGAGAATAGACCCTAGCTGGTAAAACTCCCTGGGAAGGACTAGGAGGTGTGGCCTTGTTGGAGAAGGTGTGTCACTGTGTGAAACCTCAAAGCCCACACCATTCTCAGTGTAGTCCTCTTTCCTTCCCACTCTCCCTCTCTGCCTCATGCCTGTGACCAGATGTAAGCTCTCAGACACGGCTTCAAGGCCATGCCTACCTGCCCAGTGGACTGGGCTACCTCCTGAAACTGTGACACCCAAACTAAATGCATTCTTTTATAAGTTGCCTTGGTCATAGTGTTTCATAGAAATAGAAAACCAACCAATAAAAATTTTTATGAGAAACAGGACAGATAAAAAGGACTCATATGTTAGGGAAAGAGAGAAATTAGAAAAGGTTCCATTATATATAGCCATTAAAAAAAAATCAAAGTTTACTATGTACCCAAATCAAAACAGATACCCCAAGACATACAATGAAAATTGTGCTCCCTAGAATCAGAGGATAATTTATTATGAAAGTTAAAATATATAAGGTAAAAATGTATTCTGAGAAACAGTTCCATATAGTGCTCTGGCAACAAGAGACGAGTATATTTGTATTTATACCTAGAGAGAAGGCATGGAAATTAGGTAGCAGGAGAGAGTTTCTGATGCCTGTGAACTTTAAGGGGTTTTGTTTGTTTTTTTTTTGTTTTTCTAGATAGGGTTTCTCTGTGCCACCCTAGATGTCCTGGAACTCTTCTCTATAGACTGGGCTGGCCTCAAACTCAGAGATCCATTTGCCTCTGCCTCCCGAGTGCTGGGATTAAAGGTGTGAGCCACCACTGCCCAGCTTAAGGTGAACTCTAAAGATTGGATGGGAGTCAGAAAAGATGGAAAAGGAAATAGAAAGTTCAATCATATGCTAAAGGAGGAAGGTATTATGACTGTGCAATAAAATGAAAGATTTCTTTAATAAGCAGTGTTAGAATAATCTCTTGGAAAACTTAGACCCTTTGCAGCCAATATATTGTAGATGGATTACAGCTTATTTTTCAGAAATCTCAAAAATATTGTCTTATTAATTATTGGAGGAATAGTATATTAAAATTTAAAGAATGATAAGAAATTGTAATAGACAGTTATTATCAGTCCTTTAAAAACTAAAAGTGCTGGAAAGGTGGCTCAGTGGTTAAGAATGATTTACAGGTCACAACTGCAAAAGATCTGGGTTTGGTTCCCAATCAAGCACATGGAAGCTGACAACTACCTGTATCTCCAGTTCCAGGGGGTCCAACACCCTCTTTTGAACTCCACGGGCTCCTACACACATGTGGTAAACACACGCATAAGTCTGGCATACACACAAAAATAAATTTAACTGAAAGTAAATAATATAAAAATGTTAATAGTTCCTTAATAATTCATAATCAGGAGGAAAAAATATGATAACTTACAACAGATAGATAACATACATACATAACATACATAACAGATAAAATAAACATACATACAAAATAAATACACATTTCATGCAATTTGCTAAGTTATCTCATTATCTATAAAATCTTTACAAACTAGGATCTATTATTTACAACCTGAATAAGCCCCAGAGATCCTCCTGGATCTGCCTTCCTGGCTCTGGGATTACAGGCGTATAGATACTGTACAGTGGAACTTTGCTGATAACCTCAACTAAGGAATGTTTTAGAATATACAACAATAAACCAAACACTAGACAATGGTTTCTGGTGGAAGTGCTCCGATCAGGAGAAGCAGACCTAAGATATGTTTCCATAAAACAAATTAAGTTGTTTTGAAACTCTGTAAATTCAAATTCTGAAAACTTCAGTGCTTATTAGGAGATACAGGTACAGTGGTGCTGTTCTTTTTATCTGTTCTATATGCTCAAATGCTCTTATAAAATGTAAACACATGATTCAATTTTAAAGAAATAATAAGTAGTAAAAGGCATTAACAAAGGAAAAACATTTCAACTCCATATACAGAAAAAACAGTATTTTCCTAAGGGTCAAGTTAGGATCAAATCAAATAAATTGCTATTCAAATGCAAAAATGCATTTGCTCCAAAATAATTCCAAATGCTAGTTTGATTTTTAAACTCAAAGGGTTTTGTTTGGTTGGTTGGTTTTATGTCTTAACATTTTCTTTACTTTTTTTAAATTTATTTTTATTTTGCATGTATCAGTGTTTTGCCTGCATGTATGTCTGTGCACCATGTGTGTGCAGTGTTTGCAGAAGCCAGAAGAGAGTATTGGATTCTCTGTGTCAGTCCTAGCAATCAAACCCAGGTCCCCTGCAAGAGCAACAAGCAGTCTTAACCACTGAGCCATCTCTCCAGCCCCTGTTTGTTTGTTTTTAAATCATGACATAAGTGCATGGCTTATTTCAGCAATGCAAAGTTAGTTCAGTCTATCTACAAGCTGTCTGCACCCAATTAACAAAGAAAACCAACTATATAAATTACCTCAAAAGACATAGATAGGGCTGTTAATGAAGGATATAGACATTTATGGTAAAAGAAAACAGATTAAGTAAAATAAAAATTGCAACAATAAAGTCATCTACTTAACTAAAAGCCTAAAATAAACCTAATTCTTAAGGAAGAACTAATAGAAGCGTTCCCTTTCAAAGTTGAAGAGAGACAAGAACTCCTGTCCACTGCCATCACCTCCTACTCAACACTGCATTTCAGGTCACAGTCAGTGAGAAAAGTTAAGAGAAAAGGTTAAAAATATTAAATTGATTGATATGCTTTTTATTTATGTGTGCATGCTTTTACACTACGCATGTGCAGGTTCTTGTGGAGGTTAGAAAGTACTGCAAAAGCAGTATATGGCTGAGTCATCTCTTCACTCCATCCCCCTTTTAAAAGAAATAGTAAAACCTTTGGTTCCCACTATGAGAACTACTTACACAGAAAAAAAAAAAAAAAAAAATACTTTAGAGCCCAAGCATTTGGTATGAGTATACTACTAATACAAGAATAACCAACTGTGCTTATCTCAAGTGAAAAATGAGAAAGAATTATTTTCATATACAAAATTGTATTAAAATCAGAACAAGGAATAGATCTAACAAAAGCTGAGCAGTATCTATACAGAAATAAAGCCATAAAACTTCAGGGAAGAGCTGGGCGGTGGTGACACATGCCTTTAATCCCAGCACTCGGGAGGCAGAGGCAGGCGGATCTCTTTAAGTT